GCCGCCTGCAGAGGATCATGAGCTGTTAAACCCCGCAGAGTCCTCGAGGTAAGAGTCAAAGCACGGTCCATCCACTACAAAACAAAAAAAATAAGAATAAGAATATATGCTTATTATTTATTAAAATTAAATTTATTCTAATCAAATATTGTTAATTAAAAGCTTGCGAATGTCTTACATAGTCGGTGTTCCCGCGCGTAGGGACCTCTCTCTCGTCAGGCATGCCCTCACCCAAGACAGTAGGATGAGAAACCCGACGGTACCACAGCAAGTACTCCGGATCGGCCTCCCCTCGATCATCTGTGGCGACCCTACACAAGCTGGTGTTGACAGTCTGCGACATCGGGAACTGGTTCCACATATTTACTGCGCCGACATCAGGATGCTCGACTTTGTACAGCCTCGACTACCAAGCACAGTAATAATTGTTAGTTAATCATTCACGATTATAAAATTCTAATTAATCGTGTATAAAATTCTAAATAATCATCTATACTACCTGCCAAGCACGGTTTACAGCGGTCGGCGTCTGTATAGGGGGAGGGATGGTCTGGACATACCCCAACTGCCGCAGAAACCGTACAGGATAGTACGGCTCGACAATATCGCGGTACCGAATCAGTCCGCAATAAAGAGTCCTCTGCTCTGTCTCATCTGGCCATGAGCTGTTGTATGGCGTCCATTGCACCTGTTCACAATGGCATAAAAGCATTTATAAGAATATTTATATTATTTTAAATAACGAGTAACTAAATTAAATAACTTAACGTACACTGGAGGCAGTGAGTCTGTCCAGCTTACGACGGATAGACATCAGACGGTCCTCTGACCTATGACCCGTCCCTGTGTTCCACACCCGCGCTCGTGCGGACTCGTTAGGTCCGAGAGGTAAACGCCCCTCCCGGGGTCCAAAATCTGGGAAATACTCGTAAATCCAAGACTGCAGAAGAGTCAAGCAGCCGGAAAGTTGTTTGGAGTCCCCTCTGCTGGCAATACCTAACTGTCGGTATAAATATGCCAGCGTAGCCGACCCCCAGGAGTAACCTCCAATGGCATCCAAGCCTTCAAGCACCTCATGTAGGAGCTTCAGACTCACTCTACTACCACTCTTGTCTACGAACAACGTGGTAGCCAGCAGCACCCAAATCCAGGCACCAGCCTCATCTTAAGCCAACTTATTTTTACCTCTAAATATCTCCCCAACAGAGGCTTCGGCCACCGAACCACGCTGCCACACGAACGCAATTAGGTCAGGCTTCGTGACCGAAAGTATCTCCATGCAGTAAGCCTGGCATGCCTCTAAATCCAGGTCCTCAACGACCACACCTCCCTCAACAGGAATGTCCAAAATGGCCCGGACATCGTGCAACATAATGCTCATCTCACCAAAAGGCATGTGAAACGAGTTAGTATCAGGCTGCCATCGCTCCACAAATGCAGTAATCAGTGGAGTGTCCAAGTGGGCGTGCATGGAGTCTACCAGATGTGACAGCCCGGTCTGTCTAATCAGATCAAGTGCCTCGGCAGACATTTCACCTCGCCAGGCTTTCAGATTTTCTACAGCTCGCTGCCTGTTCTGGCATTTCAGTAAGTCTCGCATCTGTCCACTCCACATTCGGGAGGCTACGTGCCCTAGAAAGCTAGGGATCACACTCCCATCCATGGGCCCACCGGGAACTGGACCTCTAACGATCCAGTCTGCCCCATCATCAGTCCTAAATCGTTTGCTAGTACCTACATTAGAATAGAAAAGACATATATATATATATATAAATACATAATTGTAATAATGTCACTAACAGTACTGATAATTTGTTGCGATTAAGTCGAAATATTAATGTCAAACGAAATAAAAATACTTAAATTATTTACCTGAGGATCCAGTGCTAGCAAAACGCCCACCAGCCTGTCGTGGAATAGCAGGCCGAACAGGAGCCGTAGGCTGTGCAGGAACTGCAGTCTGTGCAGGAGACGCATGCTGTGTAGGAGGTGTATGCTGAGCAGGAGGTGTATGATGCGGCGGGAGTCCAGGATCGTACGCATCGTCATATGATGCGGACTCGTCAGAAGACTGCTCCGTCCGGGCTACCGACTCATCAGCATAATATACCTGCTGACCGTGCGGTGCTGGTGCACGAGGTATCGAACTGCCTGCCTGGCCAACATAATAATATCTATGCTGATCATGATCGTACAGTAATGGTCCGGGGACGGGGGCTCTAGAACTACCTGCCTGGCCATACCCTTGCTGACCAACCGGTACGGCTGATGCGTGAAGTCTCGAACTGTCGGACTGGCCAACTTGACCAGTTTGTAACATCCGAGCCTCTTTGATCGCGTCCTCCCGAGTGCGGCGACCGGACGCAGTTATACCCCGACTTATAACGTGTCGGTTTCCAGAACCATGCATAATATTGTCGGCCGGGTCCTCACGGTCAGCTTGTTCAGGTATACGAATACCCTAAATGAACAATTTAAAGTAATAATTAGTAAATATTTTTTTTAATTTATATAATACGATAATTACATATATTCATTTATATTAATTTATATATATGTTTTTATACATATGTAATATTTTTTAAATTTTTATATATATGTTTTTAAATGCTAATATATTAATTTTATAAAGTAACTAGTTTATTTTATATTATAATTATTATTAATTAAATGCTAATATTTTAATTTTATAATATTCAAATAAATATATTACAATATTTTTTACTTTATTAATGTGATATATTTTTCTTTTATATTATAATCATTATTATATTTATATTATGCTAATATTTTTAGTTTTTAAATATTCAAATAAATATATTATAATATTTTTTTCTGTATTAATGTAATATTTTTTTCTTTTATTTCATAAATATTTTTATTATAATTTTT